GCGCGACGGAGGATGTCTGGGTCGTCTCTGCTCGCCAGGAGCCGGCTTAAGCCACTTCCGTCTGCGACAGGTAGAGATCTGTAGCGGATTTGTTCTTGAAAGTGAAGGTATGTAAATAAGGCGCCAGGAGCTATGTAAATAACTTTTACTAGGACGGGTGCCCGGGATAGTGTGTCTCCCTCTCCCTCCCCCCTATCCTCTTTCTCGTCCCTTCCCTTTTCCTTCCCATTTCCATATCCTCCATCCTCCCCTTCTCCTTTCTTTTCCTCCACCTTCTTCTCTTCCCTGTCTGGCCTCCAACCTGGAACAGGCATTTCAATTTATATCTTTAGAGGGGGACCCGGCGGTGTCCGGGTCTCTCTTTTCCCCTCTCTATCCCTCCCCTTTTGGTCTTCCCACTCCGCTTCCCTCTCCCTTACCCTCATTTTCCCCCTTACCCCCCTTATCTTAAATTTTCTCTACATACTATCTTCACCGTATATACTACCTACATCACCGTATCCATTTTCCCTACTGTGTTTATCACTAACTAAAGTGAATTCATTTCACCGTTTTCCATAAAATCATGAAACTGCGCGGATTAACTCTAGGGACGTCTCAACCTGTCCTCTTAAAAATAACGTCGCTTTTGGCCGTTTAACCGTATGGCAGATAGTGGACGTAATTTGAAAATGAAAATAAATTTGGGATTTTTTGTTCAACAACAGTAAGTTAATGGTTGGTCTCAGGGTCTGGTCTCTGGTTGGTCTCTGTTACCCTGTGCTTCCTTTACAAGTTCTGGGCTCGTCTAGAGTGTTTCATTGGTAAGTCTATCTCCATCACACACATTCTGAACAGGGGTATAGATGTCTCATTCCATTCACCTGGGCTGTAGGAAACTCGAACTGTGAACCCCAAATCTCTATCGACTGGGCTATGAGTAATCTTTTGGGATAGATGTCAAAGGGCAGTGCTAGGGGGGATTCTATGGTAATAAAACCAGGAGCTATACCCACTTGTTTCCGTTTTCTTCCCTGTGTGAAGGGGACATTTACCTCCATGATTTTCGTTAGCTTTGTTTCTGTGAGTGCTATTATGTCTGGTGTTGGTATTATTTCTCCTGGGGGGGGGGCCTTGTCTACCTCAACTGGAGGGTAGACAATATATGTCTACATTGTATCATGTTATATTGTATCATGTATCATAATGATATATGTTGTCATTATAACTGGAGCCCTATAACATGGTGGTTGGTGTACTGGAAGATCTCACTATTATAGCCAAAGGTCATAACACGAATATTGTATTGTGAAAAAGTATTTTAAACGAAAGGTAATGTGATTGTCTGAGCTTGATAATAAACATTCCATGTGTGTGTGTGTGTGTGTGTGTGTGTGTGTGTGTGTGTGTGTGTGTGTGTGTGTGTGTGTGTGTGTGTGTGTGTGTGTGTGTGTGAGAGAGAGAGAGAGAGAGAGAGAGAGAGAGAGAGAGAGAGAGAGAGAGAGGAAGTAAAACAGCGAACAGGTACAGCAGTGGTGCATACAGGAGAGAGAGCACGCCAGGCGACAGTAGGCAGGTACAGACACATGTACACAGGTGTGCACCCCTACACTTGTGAGCCACGGCGACCGTTCGTCAGCAGCTCAACGCGCCTTCACTGCATTACACACTTGAATTAACGTTTGGAAAGCACACCTGCTACCCCTCCTCCTCCGTCCTCGAAAAGTTTAATGCGTTGTCAGATATATATTTGAAAGTACTCAAGCCTGACCCGCTAGGAATGGGGTCAGCCATTGGTACAAGACCCGGGTATATGGGTGGAAAGATTGAAGTGGCTTGCTCATTCCATCATCCCGGGAACCCACGGCCAAGCCAGGGGGCTCATTCCCCCCAAGGAGAACTAACATGACTACACATTTATCCTATAACCACAGAACAGATGAGGATGTTTCCACGACCCACGGGTCAAGCGACGGTGTCTCATTCCTCGAATGTTAAGCGCAAGAGAATGTAATTCCTCATGAGAGATGAATACGTTTAATTACTCTAAGAAGTGACAAGTGAAGATCTTTATCTCACCAACGTTGCTACCTTATTTTCTTCAAGGAGGAGGTAATCAATGATCAATATTATCCACAGAGGCACGCGATCAAGGAACAACAACATCACAACTACACGTTTTTAAGGTTATTACGACATTTAACAAATTAAAATGATCAATGATCGTGTGACTGCGTTGCACAGGTATTGGGCAAGTCCTGCACCACGCTGACTCCCATGGTCACTGCCTGTCTCCTCTCCTCTGGCCCATGTTGATCAACACCTGTCATTATTGATCCAGTAAACTGTGTGTAACTTCCTCTCCAACATCCCAGACTTCATCACACCTCATGCCTCGAAGACCGGATGTTTAGTCTCAACATTATCTAATCTGTAGTACAAAATGCAATACGAAAACGTTCAAGGCATCTTGGCGTCTCGATTGTAACGTCTTTAGAACCCATATTATAATTATTGTTGCGGCCAAGTGATTACTAATCTAGTTAAATTGTCTTTGTCAAAAACACCAGGAATTTGTGCAGCTGTTATGTTGAGATCAACACTTGGCGACGAGAGAGAACGCGGCGGCACTAACAGGGGACACTAATGTATATTAGGTCTGTACATTGTGCTAATGCGCGTATACATGGGGTGCACAATAAACTACTGCTCATAGGATGAGTATGGGGTGCACAATAAACTACTGCTCATAGGATGAGTATAGGGTGCACAATAAACTACTGCTTATAGGATGAGTATAGGGTGCACAATAAACTACTGCTCACAGGATGAGTATGGGGTGCACAATAAACTACTGCTCACAGGATGAGTATGGGGTGCACAAACCACCGCTCACAGGACGAGTATGTGGTGCACAATAAACTACCACTCATAGGATGAGTATGGGGTGCACAATAAACTACCACTCATAGGATGAGTATCATAGGATGAGGGGTGCACAAAACCACCGCTCACAGGACGAGTATGGGGTGGTGCACAATAAACTACCACTCATAGGATGCACAATAAACTACCACTCATAGGATGAGTATGGGGTGCACAATAAACCACCGCTCACAGGAGTATGTGGTGCACAATAAACTACCACTCATAGGATGAGTATGGGGTGCACAATAAACCACCGCTCACAGGACGAGCATGTGGTGCACAATTAACTACCCCTCACAGGATGAGTATGGGGTGCACAAACCACCCCTCACAGGACGAGTATGGGGTGCACAAACCACCCCTCACAGGACGAGTATGGGGTGCACAAACCACCGCTCACAGGATGAGTATGGGGTGCACAATAAACTAGCCGCCTCTGACGTGAACACTCACACCAGGTAAGATAAGAGGCGCGACAAATGTCTTAACGGCTGTTTTAGATTTAGCTACTCCATGTATCACGGGCTATGGTGAGCCCGGAAACTTAACGGCATTCATTAACGAAAATACAGTACTCGTTAGAGCAATACTGAAAATAAAAATAAGCCCACCACACCCGCCACACACACACACACACTTCATACCACACCCCCGCGATAACCACCACTCCTAACTATGTCGTTAACCGCGTAAGTTATCACATCTGCCGCTCTCTCACACCCCTATGACACGCGTGGCAAATGTGGTAGATAGATATACCTTCGTAAAGCCTCGCTCTACCACCATAACACTCGCTATCGAGCCTTCAAGAACGCGCGATTGTTGGAATCATTAGATATTGTTAAATAGTTAAACGTCGCGGTTAGGCTTTTAACAGGCCTAGTGTATAAGGGCACGATTTAAACAATCGGCAACATGTTCCCAGCGCTTTAATACACAGCTAAGATTGTTTTTGTTAGCAACTGATAATCGGACATACCGGGTTCGACGCCCGAACGGGACAGAAATGGTTGGGCATGTTTCCTATCAACTAATGCCTCTGTTCACCTAACACTAAATGTGTACCCGCTACATGCAAGTGTTTATATATGTATATATATATTTTTTTACAGGCTTCCTGACACAGATCAATCGAATAACAACATTAGGATCACATAAGTGCCATGAAAAAAAGGAAAACTAGGCTTTTATGGAATGGTTCAGAGAAATATTTCTCATTAAATTTCAATATTTAAGAACTAGTACTCTACAAAGACTTGGATTACATACATACATACATTATATATATATATATATATATATATATATATATATATATATATATATATATATATATATATATATATATATATATATATATATATATATATATATATATATATATATATATATATATATATATATATATATATATATATATATATATATATATATTATATATATATATATATATATATATATATATATATATATATATATATATATATATATATATATATATATATATATATATATATATATATATATATATATATATGTCGTACCTAGTAGCCAGAACTCACTTCTCAGCCTACTATGCAAGGCCCGATTTGCCTAATAAGCCAAGTTTTCCTGAATTAATATATTTTCTCTAATTTTTTTCTTATGAAATGATAAAGCTACCCATTTCATTATGTATGAGGTAAATTTTTTTTTATTGGATTTAAAATTAATGTAGATATACGATCGAACCTAACCAACCCTACCTAACCTAACCTAACCTATCTTTATAGGTAATGTTAGGTTAGGTAGCCAAAAAAAGCTAGGTTAGGTTAGGTTAGGTAGGTTAGGTAGACGAAAAAAACATTAATTCATGAAAACTTGGCTTATTAGGCAAATCGGGCCTTGCATAGTAGGCTGAGAAGTGAGTTCTGGCTATTAGGTACGACATATATATATATATATATATATATATATATAAACCTCACTGAATGTCTCACGTAACAATGCAACAGAATGGTTGGGCCCGGCAAGATAAATTTCTTGTAATTTACGTCTTGAGGGGAAAAACAAAATCTACATTAACAAAACTTGTCTGTAGCTAAGATACTTACTTTTAATGTCAAGGAGCATCAGCAGGAGCAACAACGATCAACGTGGTAGCGTCCAGACACACTCACACGCACTCAAATGCACTCACACCCTCACCACTCACACACACTTGTCAGCTGGCCGCGCTCACCTGCTGCTGCTGTGTCTTGTTGGACCAGGTGCGACGCCCACGTTGTCGTACAGCTCACTACATGTGTGTCTGTATGTGTGTGTGTGTGTATATGTGTGTATGTGTGTATATGTGTGTGTGTGTGTGTGTGTGTGTGTGTGTGTGTGTGTGTGTGTGTGTGTGTGTGTGTGTGTGTGTATGTGTATGTGTGTATACTCACCTAGTTGTGCTTGCGGAGGGGTTGAGTTCTGGCTCTTTGGTCCCTCCTATCAACCGTCAATCAACTTATGTGTGTGTGTATACATGTGTGTGTATGTATGTGTGTGTGTGTGTGCCTGCGTGTGTGTGCGAATGTGCGGGCGCTTTGCTGAAGGACTTCAGGTCTATCAGCCTCGGGGAGGCTTATTGAGGCAATGACAGAAGCCTAATTATTAACCGACCAGCGAGCGTACTTCTGTGCAAAGCTTACTCCAGGAGAAGAATACAGACACTCTCAAGTCTAAATACACTGAGTAGCGGGTACACCTTCCAGTATATATATATATATATATACACTTCCAAGGTGTGTGTGTATGAGTCGCCTCTCCGTAGATATACCGTCGACTTGTGTTCGCCATCAAACACATTCTCTCTAGAACAAACTCAACTAAGAAAGTCAAGGTTTCGAATATTCATCAAATCAGTTCTTGTAATACAAATATACTCATTATAATAGTTTGATTATATCCAGAGGAAGTATTCGGTTACCGTCGGCAGTCTTTGAGTGAGTCACTAAGTTTAAATTTAACTTGCAACTGTACTTGGCGAATTATGTTTCAGCTCATCTAAAACCGTTTCCAGGATTTTTAAACAAATGTGTCACAGGCTCTTTGAAGTCGTAATGTATATGTCCAATTTGTGAACTCAATTTGAAATATTTTTAAATCAGTAAAAAGCGTTATTGCTATAATATCAGTATCGTTTACCAACTGTGTTTCCTCATACGCCTGGCAGACACGGCGGAAAACAAGCAGAGCGGGTCACTGCTTTCAAAACTCACCGAATTTGTTGAACGATAAATGTCATATTTATTCTTACCGTGATGAGTCCCTTTGTAAGTGAATGAGCTCTCCTCATGCTGTTCCTAGTAACATGAGACAATTATGTACAAACAACGGTGACAGGAGAAAAAAACTATTGTTATCGTTCAAGATGAGCTTGCATGCGACCAGCATGAGACTAATTTTATTAACACTTTTCAGCCTATGTTTGCTCTTCTCTATTTGATGTCATCGCTTGCCGTGCGACGAGGCTATTATTTTGTCGGTCTTGTCATAGCATATTTATGCGAATAACCAGTAAATAAGTCAATAATTGTTGTGATTTCTGTGGAGCTTGGAACTCGATCCTAAAGGCCCAACCTTACCTACGAAACCTGTACATTTTTCAACAATCATGGCAGCTTTGTTTGCAATTATTAAATAGTTTACGACCTTTGAAACTTCACAATCTAATGTTATTATTGTTATAAGCAATCTCGCAGTACTTCAGAGCTCATAAACTGTTTCATAAATGTAAAAATACTGCCATGATTGTTAAGAAATGAACGGGTATGATAAGTGGTTGTGTAAATGCTTGATAAATTATGGCCTAGGCGTATACATAGAAACAATTTTTGAGAGAGGAGAAAGAGAGCATTTAGATTAATCGAACTTTTATTACTTTAAAGAAGGATTAGTTTTAAATAAAGATGAGCGCTAAAAAGACGGACAGGTAATCCATTAACCTGGGGTCAGATTCACGAAGCAGTTACGCAAGCACTTACGAACGTCAACATCTTTCCTCAATCTTTGATGGCTTTGGTTATATATATTAAACAGTTTACAAGCATGAAAACTTACCAATCAATTGTTGTTAATGTTATAAACAGCCTCCTGGTGCTTCGGAACTCATTAACTGTTTAATAATTGTAAACTAAAGATTGAGAAAAGATGTACAGGTTCGTAAGTGCTTTCGTGAATCTAGCCCCTGACCCGCATCCCCAAGGTAGACTAGTTAATTAAGGATTTTGTAATGAACCTCCCATGTAGTTTATACAAAACCCAAGCTAAAGCTTCGTAATATACTCCTGGACGTCGTCCTTACCTCTCAGCGATAAAGACAGACACGACTCGTAAATAATTCGACCGTGTTATCATGGTAAAACTATCACCCTTCTCTGTGATTGGTTATCTTAGGTATTTATTATGTCTGTAGTGGTTACATGTGTGTATTGTATTTTGTTGTAGTTGTTGGTATCCTCAGAAGTTTATATGTGTATGTGTGTGTGTGTGTGTGTGTATGTATGTTTGTGTGTGTGTGTGTGTGTATGTTTGTGTGTGTGTGTGTAAATCACAGAAATTAACACGTGACGAATAATGTGACAAAGTTAAACCACGAAGGAAAATGAAACAAGAAATTCCTTAAGGACTTTCGTGTTAATCAATATGTCAGAAAGATTATCAGAAGGATGATGAATGTGTTGATTAACAGGAAAGTACATAACGTATTTCCTATTTCATTTTCCTGCGTGGTTAAACATTGTCAAATATATGTTCGGAAGCAGTATATATATATATATATATATATATATATATATATATATATATATATATATATATATATATATATATATATATATATATATATATATATATATATATATATATATATATATATTAAATATGACCGAAAAAGTAAGATTAATAATTCTAACACGAATTTTCTCAATATTTCTTATGTTTCTTTATATATATTATATATATATATATACATGTATATCACTAAGAACTCTTTGACCCGGCCAGGACTCGAACCCATGCCGTCCAGGATCACCCCTAAACGTACACAGTACCGTGACCACCGCACCAATGATCGTCTATAAGGATTGGTCAGTCTTGGCGCTTATTAACTAAGCTCCCTGACTGACCAACCCCCGACAACACTCATGGATCCATTTGGGTACAGTTTTTCATAAAATTCTGGCGCATGCACGGGCCGCACTGAGTCTACCTTATGTGAGAAAGCTGCATGAACGCGCAAGCCATATATCACTACGAACTCTTTGACCCTGCCAGGATTCGAACCCATGCCGTCCAGGATCCTGGACGGCATGGGTTCGAATCCCTAAACCCTTCGGACAGCGTTTAGGGGTGATCCTGGACGGCATGGGTTCGAATCCTGGCCGGGTGATATATGGCTTGCGCGTTCATTTATATATATATATATATATATATATATATATATATATATATATATATATATATATATAAATATATATATATATATATATATATATATATATATATATATATATATATATATATATATATATATATATATATATATATATATATATATATATATATATATATATATATATATATATATATATATATATATATATATATATATATATATATATTAGTTTCGTTGCACTCTGGAACATCTTCATGTAAGGAATGTATACACAAGGTGCAAATTTATCTTAATATAAACACGTGGAGGAAGGGAACTATCAGGGGGGTAAGTGCCAAGCCATTACGCCTATAATAGGAGGTAAAGTTGTGTGGGGTAAGGAGAAGTAAACAAACATAAGGAAATAAATAGTGGAATAATGAGTTTGGATGCCAATCAAACACTGGGGTAAGGCGGTGGTTGAAGAGAATTCAGAAGAGATGTTATCCGGATTTGAACCTCGGCAAAGGTATCGAAGTCGTTATTCTGTATATTTAGGGTGGGTTTCATTTCTTTTATGGGGTATTCCTGGATTTGCAGTTTTCTCTGGTCAGTGGTGGGTTCGCCAGGATTGTGTCTGGTATCCATGTAGGTACAAATGTACCTGAAACATGTCCATACGTCTCGTCCTGTTTGGGAATCGAACCCCGGACCAGTCGTTAGAGACGACTGCGCTATAGGTGCCTTATTACGTAAATATTGTATCCCATGATGTACCCTGCCTGTTAATGTATCTTATACAAATGTTTTATCATGCAACTGTAGCCTCGTCCGTCGCCCGCTCGCAGGATAACTAGGCTGCACGTTTGAAAAATCAAAATCAAATACAATATAATTCAACACCACTTCAATTTGTTTAGGTAAAACAACATTAAGAGTCCAGTCGAGGGAAAGTAGCAGATACGCATCGGCCTCGGAGACCTTTGGCATACTAAATAACCTGAAACAGCATTATATACGGGGCAAAAACGAATTATACTCTAGGAAAAATATAGCTCCTCGCTATTGACTCACCGGGAATTTACCACCGGTGACTAATTCTTTCCTAGTTACATCCTTTGTTAAGGTATTAGGATTATTTAACCTTTCCTTCCCGGATTTAAGCAGCTAGACGCTAGTGTTCTGGGTACAGAATTACCCTGTAATTTAAACCCAATTTTCCTATTCCTTCCAACCTATTCTTACCTTACCCATCTATTCTTATCGACCTACCTACAGATGCATACCTTTATACACTAGGTAAAGTTACGTACCTACAGCTAGGTACGTAACTTTACCTGTATAAATATTCCTATCATATCTATGTATAACTTACATATCTTCATTTATTTAAAATATATACATATACTTTATATATATCTACATGCAACAATGATCACAAAAACACTGATCCAAGTATGCAGAATAACCACATTTGAAAAATAGAAAATGCTTAACGCGTTTTCGGCTAATTCGCCTTCATCAGAGCAAAGTAGAATCAGAGTAGAATATATCTACATATTCTTTACACATATGTCTATCACTATTCTTACTAACCTACTCCCCAGGGTGCCGCCCATTAAACTAGACAACCCGCTACCCAGTTACCTACGAACTAACTAATCCACTAACCGTCTAATCAATCTATGTGAACTAACTAATCCACTAACCGTCTAATCAATCTATGTGAACTAACTAATCCACTAACCGTCTAATCAATCTATGTCAAAAATAATAAATTCTTTTATCGTAAGACTTCTAGACATAAATTTAGGTTACCTATTTGCCATATT